TGTGTTTCGGTACTTCGTTTCTTTTTATGGCTGAATAATGTTCCATTGTATGGCTAATACATTTTGTTTATCCATTCATCAGTTGATTGATGTTTGGGTTGTTTCCACCTTTTTAGCTGTTATTAATACTGCTATGAATGTTCATGTACAAGTTTTTGTGTGAACGTGTTTTCAGTTCTCTTGAGTAAATACCTAAGAATGGAATTGCTGGATCATATGGTAATTATATGTTTTAATTTTTTGAGGAACCACAAAACTATTTTCCCAAGTGGATGCACCATTTTACATTCCCACCAGCAATGAATGAGGGTTCCAATTTCTGTACATCCTAACCAACACTTGTTATTGTCCATCTTTTTTAGTGTAGCTATTCTGGTGGGTGTGAAGTGGTATCTCATTGTGGTTTGGGTTTGTATTTCCCTGCTGTCTAATGATGTTGAGCATCTTTTCATCTGCTTATTGGCCATTTGTGTATCTTCTTTGGAGGGATGTCTGTTCAAGTCCTTTGCTCATTTTTTTAATTGGGTTTTCTTTTTATTGGAGTCCTGGTGGCACAGTGGTTAAGAGCTCGGCTGCTCACCAAAAGGTCAGCAGTTCAAATCCACCAGCCGCTCCTTGGAAACCCTGTGGGGAAGTTCTACTCTGTCCTTTAGGGTCAGTGAGTCAGAATTGATATGACAGCAACAGGTTTGGTTTTTTTATTATTCAGTTGTAAGGCTTATTTATGCTCGGTACTAGACCTTTGTCAGATATATGATTTGCAAAATTTTTTATATTGTACAAGTTGTGTTTTCACTTTCTTGGTAGTGTGCTTTGAAGTACAAATATTTTTAATTTTTAAAATGAAGTCCAACTAGTCTTATTTATTCTTTGGTTACTTGTGCTTTAGGTGTCATATTTAAGAAACCACTGCCTAATCCAAGATTTACTTCTATGTTTTCTTCTAAGAGTTTTATAGTTTTAGCTCTTACTTTTAGATCTTTGATCCATTCTGAGTTAATTTTTGTATATGGTGTGAGGTAGGGGGTCCAACTTCATTTCTTGCATGTTGTCCCAGTGCCATTTGTTGAAACAACTATTCCTTCCCCCCCATTGAATTGTCTTGGCACTCTTGTGGAAGATCATTTGATGGATGGGTTTATTTCTGGGCTGTCAATTCTATTCCATTCGTCCATATATCTGCCTTTACACCAGTGCCACACTGTCTTGATCATTGTAGCTTTGTGGTAGATTTTTAAAAGTTTTTAATTGTATGTTGAGTGTTTGATATTCTTAACATGTTTGTTAGGGTCAAAATATAAGAAAGTTATCCTTTTAAAGAATTGTACATTTACTTTATTGGTTTTTTGCGTAGTCAGTGTAGCTGGTATATGATTCCTTATTTTATAGGATCTAGAGTTAAGTTTTACTTTTACTGGTGAGGAAACTAAGGCCTAGAGGTTTAACTAATTGGTCCATAGCAGGTGCTAAATATTTGTTGATTTAAATATTCTTAAATGTTAATAGTTGTTTGCTTTGCTGACACTGGTTTGCTTCTATCTCTGATTTATATGACACTGAGCCTTTAGGGCACAGCTGTCACGTATGTCGCTTACATAACCGGGTGGGTATTTTATAAAATTTACTCTGTGATGGTCCCTGAATGGCACAGTTTGCATTTGGCTACTAACTGAAAGGTTGGTGCTTCAAACCCACCCAGCAGTGCTGAGGAAGAAAGGCCTGGTGATCTGCTTCTACAAAGATTATAGCCAAGAAAACCCTATGGAGCTCACTTCCAGCACATGGTGTTGCCATGAATCAGAATTGACTTGATGGCAATAGGTTTAGTTTTTTTTCACTTTGTGACATGATCTCTAGGAGTGCATTTGAGGTAAAACCTTGTGATTACCTGTGTAAATATGAACATAAGGAGTGTAGGTATTGGAATAGTATACATAGTGAATAATTTTAGGATTCGTTAAGCTAAAGGTAAGAGAAATTCGGAGTCCCTGGGAGTGCTCGACTACTAACCAAAAGGTTGGTGGTTCAAGTCCACCCAGAAGCACCTCAGAAGAAAGGCCTGGCTATCTACTTCAAAAAAAATCAGTCATTGGAAACTGTGGAACATTGTTCTACTCTGACACACATGGGGTTGCCATGAGTTGGAACTGACTCAACAGTACCGGTAAGAGAAATTCAACTTCCATGATTTAACCATGTAAGGTTTTATTTTCCTTATGTAAAAAGGAGTCCAGAAGCCAGCTGTCTGTATGATGGCATCCTGCCAGCGAGGTTCCAGGTTTATGCTGGACTTTGCTCTGCCATCCTTGTGTGTGGCTCTCTTCTTCATGCTCATAAAATGGCTGCTGTACCTCTAAGGCATTATATCCCATTCCAGGCAGAAATACATGTGCCAAATCCTCCATCTTTTTTAAATCACAAAAACAATAGTTTTTCTGCAAACTCTCACTGAGAGGACTATTTACATCTTATTGACCAGAACGTTGTCACTTGGCCAGTCCTAGTGCCAAAAGAACTTGAGAAATCAAGTTTTTTTTTAATTGTGGTAAAATATATGTAACATAAAAATTGCCGTTTTAATGATTTTTAAATGTACACTTCAGTGGCATTAATTATATTCACAATTTTGTGCCATCATCATCACTATTTGTTTCTAAAACTTTTTTATTATTCCAAACAGAAACTCTGAATCCATTAAGCATTAACTCCCCATTGCTTCCTTCTCTCCAACCCATGGTAACCACTAATCTACTTTCTGTCTCTATGTATTTGCCCCTTCTACATATTTCATATAAGTGGGATCATACAATATTGATCTGGCTTAGTTCATTTAGCATGTTTTCAGCATTCATCCATGTGGTAGCATGTATCGGAACTTCATTCTCTGTATGGTTGAATAAGACCCCATTGTATGGATATTACCACTTTTGCTTTTCCAGTCATTTATTGATGGACACTTGGGGTGTTTTCACCTTTTAGCTAATATGAATAATGCAGCAGTGAATGTTGGTGTTCAGGTATCTGTTTGAGCCCCTGCTTTCAGTTCTTTTGGGTATATACCCAGGAGTGGAATTGGTAGGTCATATCGTAATTCTGTGTTTAACTTTTTGAGGAACCGCCAAACGGTTTTCCACAGCAGCTGCACCATTTTACATTCTCCCCAGCATTAGATGAGGGTTTCAGTTTCTCCACATCCTTACCGACACTTATTTTCTTTTTTTTTTTTTTAAATAATAACCAATCTAGTGGGTATGAAATGGTATCTCGTTGTTTTGATATTCATTTCCCTAATGGCTAATGATTTGACCATCTTTTCACATGCTTATTGGCCATTTATATATCTTCTTTGAAGAAATGTTTAAGTCTTTTGCCCATTTTTGGCTGGGTTGTTTGTCTTTTTGTTGTTGAGCTGTAGGAGTTCTTTATATATATTCAGTACTAAGCCCTCATCAGATATGTGATTTCTAAATGTTTTTTCCCATTCTATAGGTAGTCTTTTTACTTTCTTGATAATATCCTTTGATGCACAAAAGTTTTTTATTTTGATGAAGTCTGGTTTATCTGTTGTTTTCTTTCATTGCCCATGATTTGGGGTTGCATCTAATAATCCATTGCCAAATACAGAAATCAGGTTTTTTATAGTATCTTATATATCTACCCAGAGCAAAATTAAGTTTTTGTTAATTAGGAATAAAGGGACGATATTAAGAGAAAGGAGAAATTCGAACTAAAAAGAGCTACCAAAAAAAAAAGATGAAAAAATTAGAACAGACAAAAAATTAAAGTAGCATGGAAATGAATGATGATCAACATTTCCATCTCTAATCACAGTAAAAAAGTGTAGTTATTCATTTAATAATATGTCTTAATGGAGCACTTACTATGTACTGGCATGTCCTGAGCACTTGGGAGTCTTCATATCCTATATCCTACTTGTTGGGCCTTCTACAAAATCCCCTCAATCTCCCTCTGCTTCCATATCGCTGTATGAGAAATCACCCGTTTAGGCTTCCAGTTCATACTCTGAATATCTATTATAGTACAAGACTTTCAGTTCATAGTTATCCAAGCAAATCTGCCTCTAGTCTTTTCCACTGTGGCCAGTACACTCATTAGTTAACTGTTTTTTAGAAAGTAAACAAAGGTGGGATAATTTAGTGTTTTAAGAGAATACACATGACTTACATTTAGGTTTAGACATTGTTTGCCTCAGTCCCTCATATTTCCACTAGGACATATGGGAATAATTTTATTGGTGGAGATGTTTAAGATAGGTAAGTGATTTTTTTAGTTTTTAAAAATTTTCAGGGTGGCCTGAATTTCATACAGTGTACATGCATGTTAGTTTGGAGGCTGGACCTCATGGCTTTTAACATCTGTCTTAGGTCTAATTTTTCAAATTAGACTCGTAAAAGAGAAGAACATATAGTAACCAAACCCACAGGAATTAGACACTCAACATCTTTGTTAAATCCTGATGTATTTTTCTCTAACATTTTTAAAATCATTTTTTGAGAGATAATTTTATCCAAACAAATTTAACTTACTGAAATTTAGCAAATACTAAGTTGAAGTATTTGTTCCTATACTTGCATTATGATTTCATTGAGGTAACTAGATTAGTATCAAGGATCCTTGGCTGCTAACTGAAAGGTCGGTAGTTTGAACCCACCAGTGGCTCTGCAGAAGAAAAGACCTGGCGATATGCTCCCGTAAAGATTACAGCTTAGGAAACTCTCTGGGGCAGTTCGATTCTGTCATGTAGTGTCACTGTGAGTCAGAATCGACTTGACAGCACACAGCAACAACAACAACAAAGAGTAGTATCATAAAGTATGGATTCTATAGATAACACTGAAAACGCATGATGGAAGGAATGATCAAAGTATTTTAAATAAAGAAATACTAAAGACCATGCAAAGGTGATTAAATTTCTCGGTATGTGTAATTGGAATGAAATGAAATGAAATTTTCTGTTTTCCTTCTTTTTCCATTTTCAGATTCAGTTATGGGACACAGCAGGACAAGAACGATTCAGAAAGAGCATGGTACAACACTACTACCGAAACGTTCATGCTGTTGTCTTTGTGTATGACATGACCAACATGGCTAGTTTTCGTAGCCTGCCATCTTGGATAGAAGAATGCAAACAACATTTGCTAGCCAGTGATATACCACGGATTCTTGTTGGAAATAAATGTGACTTGAGAAGTGCCATTCAAGTACCCACAGACTTGGCACAAAAATTTGCTGACACACACAGTATGCCTTTGTTTGAAACCTCTGCTAAAAACCCCAATGATAATGACCATGTGGAAGCTATATTTATGACCTTGGCTCATAAGCTTAAGAGCCACAAACCATTAATGCTTAGTCAACCCCCTGATAATGGAATTATCCTGAAGCCTGAACCAAAGCCTGCAATGACGTGCTGGTGCTAAATAACAGTCTTTATGATGCTATCTAATTTTGACTAAAGAAATACTTGGGAGGTATGACAGTGATAAGTCATAAGATTTGATCTCAAATGTATGGGATCATCCTGGCACCTTACTATTTATCATTGTCATGCTTACTTTTGTACTTTGTATCGACTTAAGTTTGTCATTGTGACAACACAAGGAAAAAGTTGGTTTTCAGGTGAGGTTGAAATGAAGCAAAGGTAGGGTGACTCAGCATATCTTTTCATCGAGAGCCCAGTGAAGAAACCCTCAAATGAGAGTGTGATGGGATGTTAAGAGTCAGCAGCTGTTCAGTCCTGTATTTCTAGGATTGAAAAAAATCTATTAAGAATTTAGTACATACCTACTGGTATGCCTTTTAAATGGAGGGTATCCTCAGTAGGATAAAAACTGGTATTTGCCTCTCCCCACAGAGTTCTTTATTTTGTATTACTAATGTTTTTAATTGCATTATTATTAGCACATTTTAGAGCCAAGGCTTTAGTACCAGTGATGTTTAGAACCAGAATGTTTTCTGGTTCTCAGTACCAAAAGAGCGAATTGTTCAACAGTTCTGGATTCTTGATATTTCTAATCAGTATCAATCAGTTCTATAGAAATCATTGTTACTTTAAAAAGAATAAGTTGAATTATGTTCTTACTAAGTCTATTAAAATACACAAAAATAAGTCAGATTTTAAAGCAAATGAAGTGACATGGTTAGGTGCTTTATATTTTATTTTGGCATCTTTAAACAATGAAAAACCAATTGAAAGCATTTGAAGAGTTGTAACTTGGGGAAAATAGGTAAACATGGTTCCTGGCTACCATAAGGAGACCTGTTTTTAGCTTTGAGTCATTTCAGACTGTGTCTATGTCATAGTATCTCTTGCTCTCTTCCTCTCCTCTCTCCCCACTCCCACCTCAATCAATTTAATGACTAAAACTGAACTAACAAATCATCAGCTTCCATTTGGGTTGTAGCTCTGAGGGCATAGCTCTAATTGCTATGAGTCTGCCTGTATTTCTCCAATAGTATTGTGTTATAGTACAGTCATGCGCCACATAACGTCCGTTTGGGCACTGTCTGACCACATATACATTTGTAGTCCTGTAAGGTTATGACAGAGTTCAGAAATCCAGATCGGAGAACGGGACATAGCAAACATAACGCCATAGCTTCCCAGTAGCTATTTAGTCACTACAAGTACACTGCAGTATCCCATATAGCTTTGCTAAGTACAAGCAGTCCCCGGGTTACAAACGTCTGACTTATGTACAACCCGTAGGTATGAACAAACCCCTGTAAAGCCTATTATATTAAAAATTCAAGGTACATACAATGGTTCGTAATAACAAACAGGTGCTACTTTGCAACGCACATCAAAACATTATTACTACTGTATTATTATGTTAAAGATGTTTTAGTGTATCTGGAAGTGTTTCTTTAATGTTTTTTATACATAGAAAGGTACACTATAGATAAACACATGACTGACTAATGTTGGATACGAACCGTACCCAACTGTACTTAACTCTTCCAACTTAGGTACAAGTTCGACTTAAAGACAGAATTAGAAATGGAACTCGTTTGTAATCCGGGGACTGCCTGTATATAATATGGTGATTGCACAGCGTCCAATCACATAACGTCCTATTTCACAGAACGTATCATGGATGTTACGCGACACATGACTGTACATCAATTTAAAAATTCTTTAAATTGTATGGTCACAGCAAGCTGTTCCTCAGTATGAAAAATAAATTAAATATTGAAAAATATCTTGTCTATCCCTCAATGATGGAAAGACTGTTTCAAGAAAAGTTTTATCTTAAGTACTTTTATTTTGAATTTAAAATTTTGCACAAAGAAAATAGCAAGCTTGTATATGCAGCTATTACATGAATGGAATGTGAGCCATGAACTTTAACTGAAGTGTGTAAATTCACTGATTTTAATAGATTGCTGTCCTTGATAATTTTAGAGGAAATTAAGTTAAAAAATGATTGTACTTCTAGTATTTTTAGAATGTGAAAAACCAGTTAAATATGTACACTAGTTTGGGATTTTTGTTTAATCATCATGGTGGTTCTTTCAGGATAATTTAATTATAAAAATGAGGTAATTCTATTAACTGAACTAACTTAAAGTAATAATTACAGAAAATAATCATTCGGTTTTAAATATTAGCGCTTATGGGAAAACCAACTGGCTTTGATTTGAGTTTAGGGAGATTAATCCATTTTTATTAACCATGCTAGAATTAAAGTTGTTTGACGTTCTCTTTTTAAATTAACATTCATTTGTAAGTATTTTTATAGAAAAACAATGACAGCTGTGAACATTGTGATGGGTGTAATAGTTTTTTAAAGAAGGGAAATTTTTTATTGTTTTCCAAAACATTTTCTAAAATGGAGGGAAAAAGTTTACAAATGTAATCTTTTATGTTTACAAGCACATTTATGTTTTTCAGTACTGGTATTAATGGTTTAAAAATCAGTAATTTAACTTTAGTTCTTTTTGTAAGAAGTTAGTAGTAAGTATACTTTTCTTAGTTCTGTGAAAGGACTTATTTTTTCACCTTACTTTGTATTAATTTTAAAAGATTTGTATCTCAGTTGTAACAATTTATTGTTTTAATTTTTTTTGTATGTATGCTTATATTAAGATAAAAAGAACAAATCTATCAATTGAATGGGGATAAAGCTTTTAGATATTTTCCAAAATATTTGACTGTTGAGAAATCACTTCCAAAATGGTGGCTATCTAATTATTAATTTCTAAGCACAAACCAGACATTTGGTAAACCGGTGTGTGTTTATTTTAACTGTTCTCTTTAATTGATGTCAGATATGTTTTGGAAAAGTGTTGACTTGAGAGCACCAAAAGAAGCTAATCTAGAATCTAATGTAGTTAGCTATTAATGACAACACTTTATTGAAAGTATATTACTAATACGTTTCTATATGTTTCCTCACAAAATCCAAACTAAAGTCAAATAATTTGTTTTGAAATTGTGTCACTGTAACATTTCCCCCCATGAAGTTCAGTAAAATAGCTTTGCCACAAAGAAATTGTGTTGTATTTCCTTTGTTTGGTTATTGGGTTGAGTATAAAATAATCTCCCCCTCCCCGGATGCCAGATAATATGTCATACATCATTAAAAAAAACAAAAATCTAATCCACTGGAATTTATTTTCCTTTATATGTTTGGGGTTAAAGAACATTTCAGGAAAAGCAAACAAACAACCTAAAACAAACAATGATTAAAATTAGCTGATTAGGCAGCTTTTGTGTGTGTGCTGCTGAATGATCCAATTTCTTCAGAACACCTCAATGCAAATGGCAGATACTACAAGAGTGGTTGACATCTGTTTAGAAGTAGAAGAATTTAGTGGAATAAATGACATTAAAGGTATGAGAAAAGAGAAGGAATATGTCCAGCTTCTTGGATTATTTGCTCAGCATACAGATTAAATAAATATGGTGAAAGGATACAACCCTGATGTATACCTTTCGTGACTTTAAACCATGCAGTAGTATCCCCTTGTTCTGTTCCAACAATTGCCTCTCGGTCTACGTACAGGTTCCTTATGAGCACAATTAAGTGTTCTGGAATTCCCATTCTTCGCAGTGTTATCCATAATTTGTTATGATCCACACAGTCGAATGCCTTTGCATACTCAATAAAACACAGGTAAACATCTTTCTGGTATTCTTTGCTTTCAGCCAGGATCCATCTGACATCAGCAATGATATTCCTCATTCCACATGCTTTTCTGAATCCGACTTGAACTGCTGGCGGTTCCCTGTCGGTGTACTGCTGCAACTGCTCTTGAATGATCTTCAGCAAAATTTTGTTGTGTGGGATGATATTAATGATATTGTTCGATAATTTCCGCATTCTGTTGGATCACCCTTCTTTGGAATGGGCACAAATATGGATTTCTTCCAGGTGATTGACCAGGTAGCTGTCTTCCAAATTTCTTGGCATAGATGAGTGAGCACCTCTAGCACTGCATCCATTTGTTGAAACATCTGAAATGGTATTCAGTCAATTCCCAGAGCCTTGTTTTTCACCAGTGCCTTCAGTGCTGCTTGGACATTTTCTTTTAATACCTTTGGTTCTTGATCATGTGCTACCTCCTGAAATGGGTGGACGTTGACCCGTTGTTTTTGTTACGGTGACTGTGTACTCCTTCCATCTTCTTTTGATGCTTCCTGTGTCATTTAGTATTTTCTCTGTAGAATCTTTCAATACTGCAATTCGAGGCTTGAACTTTTTCTTCAGTTCTTTCAGCTTGAGGAATTTTGAGTGTGTTCTTCCCTTTTGGTTTTCTAACTCCAGGTCTTACATTTCATTATAATACTTTTGTCTTCCATAGCTGCCATTTGAAATCTTCAGTTCTTTTACTTCATCATTTCTTCCTTTTGCTTTAGCTACTCGACGTTCAAGAGCAAGTTTCAGAGTCTCTTCTGACATCCATTTTGGTCTTTCCTGCCTTTTTAATGACCTCTTGCTTTCTTCATGTATGATGTCCTTGATGTCATCCAGCAACTCGTCTCGTCTTCGATCATTAGTGTTCAATGTGTCAAATCTACTCTTGAGATAGTTTCTAAATTCAGGTGGGATATACTTAAGGTCTTATTTTGGCTCTCGTGGACTTGTTCTAATTTTCTTCAGCTTCAACTTGAACTTGCATATGAGGAAGGAAATATAGTGTAGGCATAAAACTACAATTCCTACATTCACATTACTGATTCAGGCCCTTTACAAGAGTGAATTGGGGCCTTTCGCCAACACCATAATTCAAAGGCAACAATTTGCCTTTGGTCTTCCTTGTTCATTGTCCAACTTTTGCATGCATATGAGGCAATTGAAAATACCATAGCTTGGGTCAGGCGCACCTTAGTCCTCAAATGACATCTTTGTTTTTTAACACTTTAAAGAGATCTTTTGCAGCAGATTTGCCCAATGCAATACATCATTTAGTTCTTGACTGCTGCTTTCATGATTGTGGATCCAAGTAAAATGAAGTCCTTGACAACTTCAGTATTGTCTTTGTTTATCATGATGTTGCTTATTGGTCCAGTTGTGAGGATTTTTGTTTTCTTTATGTTGAGGTACAATCCATACTGAAAGCTGTAGTCTTTGTTTTTTAATCAATTTTGTCTTTTTTAAAAAGGTTTACAGAGCAAAATAGCTTCTCATTAAACAATACACACATTGTTTTGTGACATTGGTTGCCAACCCCACGACATGTCAACACTCTTCTTCTCGACCTTGGGTTTCTCATTACCAGCTTTCCTGCCCCCTCCTGCCTTCTAGTCCTTGCCCCCTGGGCTGGTGTGCCCATTTAGTCTCGTTTTGTTTTATGGGCCTGTCCAATCTTTGGCTGAAGGGTGAACTTCAGGAGTGACAACTTTACTGAGCTAAAAGGGTGTCCAGGGGCCATACTTTCAGGGTTTCTCCAGTCTCCGTCAGACCAGTAAGTCTGTTCTTTTTTTTTTTTCTCTTTGTGAGTTAGAATTTTATCGTAGATTTTTCTCCAGCCCTGTCCAGGACCCTATATTGTGATCCCTGTCAGGGCGGTCGGTGATGGTAGCCAGGCACCATCTAAGAAGGCTGTAGTCTTTGACTGTCAGTAAGTGCTTCAATTCCTCTTCACTTTCAGTAAGCAAGGTTGTGTCATCTACATAAAGCAGGTTGTTAATAAGTCTTTCTCCAGTCCTTATGTCCTGTTCTTCTTCATATAGTCCAGCTTCTTGGATTATTTGCTCAGCATAGGGGAAAGGTAGATATCAAAAAGGTCTCATGATGGAGTAGACATTTATGCTGTGTCTTGAGGTAGGTATCCTGCAAGTCAAAAAGAAAAGGAAAGCCGTCTCAGGTGGATGCAGAGCAAAGGCTCAAAGGTAGAATTGGATTTGGAGG